TCGGACACCAGCGACTTTCTTAGTCTTCCGGATTTTGACTTGTTCTGTCGTTACGCGTATTTCATCGTTTCGTTGATCTGTACGCTATTTTGGTGGCCGATGAGCGTTCGGGCCACTTGGTGGTGGCCGGTGAGCACGCGGGCCACTTAGTTCGCCGATTTTATGACTGATGGGCGTGCGGGCCATTTGGTGGTGGTCGGTGAGCACGCGAGACATTTGGAGCTGACTGGCGAGTGCACGGGCCAGTTGGTTCGTCGATTTAGTGGCCGATGGGCGTGCGGGCCACTTGGTGGTGGCCGGTGAGCATGTGGGCCACTTGGTTCGCCGTTCTGCTTCATGCGTTAGTCGGCGTCAGATAATTTGAATAACAAGGACCTATAAGCAATTTTATATGCCTACAGATACCCCCTCCAAAGTATTTCAGACTCATTCTTTTACAGAGGAGTCTAGGATGCTTTGGATATGATAGGCCCCCACCTTCAGTCGGTGTCGAAGGACCTGTGAACTACTTCAATTCTTAACTTCTTCAGCCTTCAGTCTATTCAGTGTTTTGTCGAATAGATGAAGTTCTTCTGGCGTTGCGTTTATCGTTTGACCGTTGTCAAAATCTTGAATCGAAATTGGTGAGTTAGTTTTGGCTCGTGTCATTGAGTTGACTTGAACTGATTATCTTCGCCGCAACACGTTGACCGACATTAACACAGTTTATACTCATACGTTTGCTGGAGTCTACACAGTTTAAGCTCTTAAGGCATTGGAGCGTGACGGTCCTAAATATTGGGGCTGCAGGACCAACAATTAAAGCTGATTCATCTGCATGTGTGGATCTTATCCCGAATTTGTTGGATGTCCAATTCACGAGACCAACTAATAGGGCTGGTGTGTCAGTGACTTTTGCGTATATAGGATTTTTGACAAACCCTCAGCCATCAACGGGTTTGATGAGCCTTTACCGACTACCGTTTGAGTCGGGCTAGCATGCGGATTATTTAAATCCATTCCGCATGTAACATTATGCTAAAAGAGTTAACTCTTTTAGTGCTACGATATTGAATACGTAGACTTCGTCTTTCTCCCGTGAAAAAACTAAACAGCGACGCGTGTTAGGCGTAGACTTTAAGTTTTTTGGCAAACCCTCAGCCTTCAACCGGTTTGACGTGCCTTTATCGATTACCGTTTGAATCGAGCTTGCATACGGATTGTTTAAGTCCGTTCCGCATGTGAGGTTGTGCTAAGAGAGTCAACTCTCTTAGTGCTACGATATTGAATACGTAGGCTTCGTCTTTCTTACGTGAAAAGACTAAACGACGACGCGTGTTAGGCATAGACTTTAAGGTTTTTGGCAAACCCTCAGCCTTCAACGGGTTTGACGTGCCTTTACCGATTACCGTTTGAATCAGGCTTGCATGCGGATTGTTTAAGTCTATTCCGCATGTGACGTTGTGCTAAGAGAGTCAACTCTCTTAGTTTTACGATATTGAATACAAAGACTTCGTCTTTCTTACGGGAATAAACTACCCGGCAACGCGTGTTAGGCGCTGACTTATCCCTACTTAGGCTTCAGGATAAAATTCTCCAGACTTGGACTCTGGTGTCTTCTTCGATCGGTGAAAGACTAAACCGGCAACACGTATTAGGCGTTGACTTATCCCTGCTCAGGATTTGGGATAAAATTCCCCGTGCGTGTGAAGCACGAATTTTGGCATTATGAATAATAATCTGCCACAATGTCGAATATGTGGGCTTTTATTCTTTTTACGGTTAAGAACTAACCGGCAACACATGTTAGGCATTGACTTATCCCTGCTCAGGATTCGGGATAAAATTCCCCATGCATAAAAGGCATTGATTTATGTTGCTACGATGCTGAATACGTAGACTCGGTCGTTTTTACGGGAACGAACCACCCAACAACGCAGGTTAAGCGCTGACTTATCCCTACTTAGGCTTCGGAATAAAATACCTCAGACTGGTATTCTGGTATCTTTTTTAATCGCTGAAAGACTAAACCGGCAACGCGTGTTAGGCGTTAACTTATCCCTACTTAGGATTCGGGATAAAATTCCCCATGCATAAAAGGTATAGATTTTGGGAGTTAAAAAAGTGGTGTCTTCTCTTGGGGCTAAGACGAACCTGATATGGGAGAGGAAGAATTTTATATTCTATCTCCCAAAGCTAAAGAAGAAGAATTTTATATTCTATCTCCAGTTACAAAAGGAAACTCAAAGTGGGATCTTCACTTCAAGAATTCAGGAAGGTGAAACTAAGAGTGGGATCTCCACTCCGAGAATCGAAAAGATCCGGATAATCCTAACTGTCGGAAGGTTTGATTATCGAACTAACAATGAATTTCTCATTTATCGAGAGTGAATTGTGGTTTTGGCCCTAACTGTAGGAAGGTTTGACCAAGCGGGAGTTTGAGGTGACCCTAACTGTAGGAAGGTTTGATCGCTCGATTTGAAAGTGGACCTCTCGTTTATAGAAGGAATCGAGAGGAGATTTTGATTGTGGTCCTAACTGTAGGAAGGTTTGACCGAGTGAGAGTGGGAGTGTGAGATGACCCTAACTTTTATATGTTTGATCACTTGATTTGTGGACTTCTCGTTCATTGAAGGAATCGAGAGGGGATTTTGACCGTAGTCCTAACTGTAGGAAGGTTTGACCAAGTAAACAGTGAGAGTGGGAGTACAAATTATAGTGGGAGTGTTGATTCGTATAAATTACTCAAAGAGGATTCCTAGTGTTAAGTGACAAGTACTTAACACGGAGGGGCTTGACAATCGTCAATGATCAGGAGACTAAAATTCTGAGTACTATGTCCGGACTCTAGCAATAGGAGTGTTGAGTGCACAGACGTAGTGGGAGTTGAGTGGATTCAACCAAAAGGAATTTTAGTGTCCCACCGTCAATTGGTCTGATCGGTGGGGGATTTTGTGGTGGAAGACTGAGTCATCAAACACCAATGAGGGTTTTGTGAGGGAAGATTGATCCAACGAAGTGATCGAATCTCGTCTCAGCAAAAGAGTGTTCGGAAATCACAGTAGGGGTTTAGTGTTCATCACTTTGTTCGTAATGATCGGGTTATCCCTGAGAAAATTACATGTTGCATTCTTCCGGGAACTTCCCGTTACATGAATCATCCACCCCCAGCTTCCTTTGCAGAACTGGGTCTGACATTATACTCAGTTACATGATCGGGTTATCCTTAAGAATATTACGTATAAAAATTCTTCAGGAACTTCCCATCAAAGGTAGGAAACAGTTTAGACTTATATACTTATTGGAGTATTGAGAAGCAGTTTATACTCGTATACTCTTCGGAGTGTCAGAAGGAGCAGTTTATACTCTTATACTTGTCGGAGTCTTCATTCGATTTAATTGAGCGTTATGACGCCGGCTTTAACCAAGGTTTGGATGCTATTCTTGAGAGCGAAGCAAGCCTTGGTAGGATGAAGGATCCTCCTGTGGTACGCATAGTACTCCGGATCTGCAGTATT